TAAATTAGGTCTTTTATAGGTATCCAAGAATCTTCTGTTTTGTTAAAACCTAGCCATCGTACTTTAACTTGGTCTTTTTTCCTTTGTAACACTTTTTCAACAAGATATACATCACCTACTGTAGATTTCAATAATTCATGTCCGTAGAACGCACCTTGTAACAAATTGCCTTTATTATCCTTTAATATGTATGTTTCTGGTATAGTTGGTTGCACTTTGTATATGGTAAATACTTCATTTGTCCAATTAGGTAGATATTTTTTAGTAAATATCGTTTTATACTTACTTATTCGAACTTTATCATTTACATTGAATTTTCTAGGCTTCTTTATTTCAACTTTAGGTTTTGTATTGTGCTTTATTCTTTTTAATACAAGTTTAGCATTTTTCTTGTTTACTTCATTTGGCGTCATCCCAATAGTTCTGTGAAACCTGTTGTTGTAATCACTTATTAACATTGGTAAAATATCAATCCATAAGTAGGTTCCTCTGTTTGAAAACATTTTATACATCGCTCCTTTTAACGTTCTATTAAATCTTTCAATTATAGCCGCTTTTTTTTCAGATTTGGTTGAGTAGTGGTTTATGTTGTATTTTTCCATTAACTCTGAAAAACTTTTATTAAAGTATTCTTTGCCATCATCAGTTTGTAAATGTTTCATTTTGTTTTTATCTCTCTTTATAGCGATTTCCATGGCTTGTGTTACGCTTTTACCAGTTTTATCCTTTAATGGTAATGCATCTGCAACTTTGGTAAAACAGTTAATCACTGTAAGTATATAATTATGTCCTTTATTTATTTTACTATATGGCCGCATTTCAATCAAATCTGCTTGATACAAATCATTTATTCCTTTTACAGTTGTATTTCTTCTTGGAAAGTTTACTCTTGCAGGTTTGTGTAGCTCATTTACAACGTTTTCTTTAAAAGCCATTATGTTGTTTTCACTGTCAATGTTGGCAAAGTAATGATTTTCATTTTTTCTTGCATCTCCTTATATAGGTCAAGGTCATTCAAACCTTGTGTAAAAAAGGGGGAACACAGCGGACAATGCTGTGTTCCCCCAATTTTACGGAAAGGAGAAAGGATAAGTGGTGTAGGACGATGAAAAGGTAATTAGTCGATAGGGTTAAGGGAATAGTGACCAAATGGAAGTGTGTGGATCCGGTCTGGTAGGATGTGTCGTTTGTCATCGTTGCAGGAGAGCGCCTTCTTAACTTCTGTCACGCTGTACAGTTGATGATTATAACTCCTGATTGTGTTGAAGTGTGCAGTTATAACTTTATCTTCATACAACACTTGCTTGTAGTCTTCAAAAAGTACATTTTTCTTCAAATACAAATTCTTTACACCTTTTGCCTTTTTTATAATGTTGTCATCATGTAGTTTCACAGCATACAATTTTGATATAAGTGCTACGATTTCTTCAAGTAACACTCCGTTAGCCTCATCTTTAAATTTCCCTAATACTTTCTTGTTTCTGTCTTGATCGTAGTTCGGATGATCTTTAGGATAGTCAGAAAAATCAAATTCATCTTTATATACAAATGTGCGAAGATCTTTATACATATCTTGAGTAATTATCTTGTAAATAAATGCATCTGTATCCATGTAAGTTATAACTATGTTCTCTCTTCCATAATGTGCAACCATCTTGTTGTAGTGAAAATCATACATGTGCGTTTTCGATATATCTAATATTGACATTCCTATATACAAAGGTCGATCCATTTTTATACTGGTTTTCTTCATTGATACGGCAACAAGGTTTTCATTAATGATTACTGATGATCCAAAGTTAGGTGTCTGTACAAGTTTCTCCAATTTCCTAGCATCTGTTACAAGTTTTACATTTTTGTGTTTCCTTTTATTTTCCAGAGTTTTACCGAATATCGCATTGTTCATTAATTTAAAAAAGTCCTTCTGGAAGGCTGTCGTTGCTGCTGCTCTTCTTGTAGTGTTGGAATCGATGTAGGGTTTCAGCCAGCAAGATTGAGAAAATTCCAAAACTCTGTGTACTTTGGTTAGACGAAGTCCTAATTCAAGTGCTTGTTGTACAGTCCAAAAGTGCGCTACATATCTTTGCTTGTTATTTAAATTCATCATTAATTTAGGATGTTTTCCAGTTGGTGAAATTTCTGTTTTTGGTAAAAGAGGAAGATCGTAGTGAAGGTCGTGTAGATGTTCTGGGTATTCGAAATCGCAGTCTAATATATATCCTGTGTCACCATGTTTTGGAATTTGAACTATATCTCCAATTGACTCTGGGTCGATCCATTTAAAGTTATCGTATGGAAGGGGGTTGGACATTGCCCATCCATACAAATTGTTTGCATCAAAATACCCAAGATAAACTGATGGCTCTTGCTGGTTGTAGTTTGGCAGATCTTTATTGTTGGCTTTAACATGTCTTACAACGCTTTGAGTCAATCCTCCTCTGACACCGGACTCAACCATCAGCACCATATCAATATCTGTTAAAAGTTGAAGTTTGCAATTGGTTTCTTTTAACATCGCCTGCCAAGCTAATCCTGGAGAGGTGTAAGAATGAAGAGGGTCTAATCCGTATGCTCCCAAACAGGTGTTTCTGAATTCTTCCATCACATCACCAAGCAGAGTTACATCGAGTTTAACATAAAAATCTGAATAATCCCCTAATGTTTCCATATCAAGTTCGTTCCAAACTCTGCATGCATGTTGGTAATCTTCTGGTGATATTTCTGAATTGTTCAGCTTGTTGGTAAAGGCTTCTGGTGGAGGAAGTGATGTCTCGTCAAATCTGTGCAATCCATCGATGTAATCATAGGGGAAGACTCCTTTTCGAAGAACTAAATCCAATTTGTTGTTGTCTACTATTTTACTTGTTTCTATTAAATTTTCTCTTGTCAAATTTTCTGATAGTTTCATAAGACTAGAAGGCATAAATCTGTAGGAGTCAAGAAATCTGAGTTTCATTTTACCAACCTTTTTTGAAAAACTAATAAACCTTTCCATCGTTACGGCTAATACATCAATTTTACCATTGTCCCTTCCTAATTCAGGTATTATAAAATGTCCATCATAGCCGCTTAAGTTGTGCATTACAATTGGAATATAGTTAGGAATTTTATAGTTTAAGTTGCAAGCGTTACACGCAGCACCTCTGTAGCTTCCAGTCAGATGGTCGTGGTCATGCACTTTATGATTATCTTCTGTAAATGTTTTCTTGCACAAATAACATGATGTTGATAAATCGTATTCTTGAACTTCATCGGGTGACATAGGTGTCATAGGTTTTACCTGTGTATAAATTGCCTCTACTTTTTCAGCTATATTGTACAGCTCGTCGACAAAGTGTTTAGCTGCATCTTCACCACGATACACTTTTGGTTCAGCTGTCAGTCCATAATCTTGTAAATATTCTTTGGAAAGTGTTGACTTGATGAGTAGACAAAAACTGTTGGGTGAATGTAGTTGGTACTTGTTTCTTCTTGATGTGTCCTCCTCTTGATGTTCTAATGGTAGTAGAGTAGATTCAAAATCAGCATACACGACAATAGGAATTCTATATTGATGAACTACATTATTAAACTGTACAAATGCTCTATCA